GTACGGGTTATTTAGTACAGTGGTTAATATCAATTTATAATAATGAATAGTTTTTGTAAAGGAGCCATTTTATCTGAAAGAGAACGTGTTTTGATCAGAGTTGCCTTCTGGTTTTGGACCTGCGTGTTTCCTTTAGTAATGTTCAACCCAAAATGGGATGTGGTGCCCACCCACCACTACGACACCTCCTCTCCTCTCCACTGAAGCCCCTGTTTACAGTTACCCTGGGTGACAGATGCCATGGCAACATTCCACTTCAGCTCATTCCAGCCCCCATCACCTGGGAGACCGGCAGATCTCAGACAAAGAAACACCAAGAAAACAGGCAAATGGGGAAAAGGGAAAAAGCCCCTCTAGGTATATACAACCTGGAGGATTTTGAAAGTCTTGCAAATGTACTTTTTATACGAAGAGTGCAGATGATCAGTGGTTAAATCATGTATAGAAAACAACATACTTAAGTGGGACGTCATATCTATTATCACTCTGAGCCGTGTTTTTATCTAGTTCTCAGCTCACAGTTTTAATTTGGTGTCTTAATGCACCTCTGCCCATCTTGCCATCAGTGCCAGGTTGTTGCTATCGTTGCTGTTGTTGCCGTCCTGGTGTCCTGCCTTACCCTCTCACTAATTGCACCATATTTGATGGCGAGCTCATCTCGGTCCGCTCTGCTGTGGGCCAGCAGGTCCTCCAGCCTCGCCAGCTCTCCCTGCAGCACTCGGTTCTCCTCCTGGAGGGACATGACCGAGGACATGGCCCCTGCCGCTGAGAGGAAAACGAGGACAGAGGCAGCGGTTAGGGCAAAGAAAAGAGTCCAAACTTTAATTTGATAGGACGAGGAGCAGACTCACAGCTGTCGTTGAGGTTCTTTGTGACAATCTCTCGTACTCGTGCTGGTAGACATGTAGGGGGGTCATCTGGTGAAGGGCCCCGGACTGTCAGCCTCTTCTCCTCAGACAAAACACTCTCCTCCAGCCTCTGATTTAAAAAAAAAAAACAAAACACATTTACCATTTCAGTTTGTGACATTTACATAGAGAGAAATAATAATAACAGCCCCGCAAAAATATGAAGTAGGCCTACATCTCAATATACAGGCAATGACAACTTAAATAAACTGAGAGATGATGGTGATTATGTGATTAAGTCCCACAAGACTAGGTCGAGCCACAGCAGTCACACCAGTCCAAAACTGCTGCCTTATAAAAAAAAACATAATACTGTCCACCAACACAAACAGGCACACACACAGAGGCCGGCAGCTTTATTTGTCACATCTCACACCAGGCAGCAGCGCTTACTGCACATTCAATAAGCGATGGGAGATGGAGGAAGACCCGGTGCACCTCACCTGTATCACAGACTCCAGTTTGTTGGAGTCCGAGTCTGAGTTTTCCGCAGCGCTCATCGCGGCTGGTCGCAGATATTTCAAATCCTCCGGGGATTAACTCCGAGTAAAATACGTCTTCACAAGTTCAACGACCGTGTTTTGCTTCCCAACTGGTGCGAAACAGAAGAAAAGCTCACGACCTCAGCCTGGTTATTTGTTGCTGTTGGAGCCGACCAAGTTTGGTCGCAGAGGAGCTGAGTGTGACCGTCCTGTCGCCTCCTCCTCCGGTACAGGGAGGCACAGATTGAGGACAGCAGGATTAGTAGGTTTAAAGATGCACACCCCTCCACCTCCACCTCCACCACACCACCGCTACACTCTCACTGCTCGCTTTCCTAACCACTGCTATACAGCTGCACAACAAAGAGAAACCGGAATAAAACTTTAGTAGCCCCCTCCCTCTCCACAAAGAGTATAATCAGTGTTTTGACCGCTGTTGTTGTGGACTATACTACTGATTTTCAAAATAAAATTCAGAGAAGGGGAGGACCGGGTCAGGTGTGTTTTTATTTTGTCCATTATTTCTAAATGAACAAATCAATACTAAGACCATATTTCTAATAATTTATGACTGCAGGTATTTTCCATGTGCTATTAGTTAAAGCTTGCCTAACCACTTTAACTAGTACTACCAGTCCCACTCAGTGGCCCCAGGGCAAAAAGTACGCTGCAGGCCCCACGTTTTCCGCAGATCAGGTTGGATATTACAACCATTTTAAAGCCCCTTTCCTTCCAATCTTCATTACCCAGTTAACCAAGTTATCACATTCCCATAACCTGTTGGGCCCTGAGGGTCTGGCGGTCTAGAAAAAACTCAAAAATAAAAGCTGAGTTATCCACAGATTTTAATCTTTGCGTATGGCTTCATTCTTCTTTGGTGGTATAAAACCTTTTTGAGGTTAACTGAACTGTATGTTCGTTATGGCAACATTAAGTCCCCTTATTGATATGAGTGATTATTCATGTATTTGTCAACAACTATAAATGCTATGGACGCCCATAAGTGAAGGCTGGTGCATGAACAGATATTGAATGACAATACCGTGATATACAATTTTAATAACATAAAATATGAAGTTATAATTATCATATATTGTACGTTAATAAATAGGTTAAAATGACCTTATGTCTGCTTACAACTATTATTGCGTGAGAAATGATTTATTAAATGTCTGTATACTTGTTATAAATGCTACATAGGGGGACATAAAGTAACTGTAGTAAGTTAACTACATGTAAGTGTTAGCAACCTCAGAACAATGTTTTCAAAGGAGTCTGTAGACATGTAAATGTGAAACTATGACACCAGCATTAAACATGAGGGGTCTGAGCTGCTCCACATAGTGTTTGGATTGTCATAGTTACAGACAAGAGGATCATTGTGTCAATACCAGACCCCCAACACAGCCTTGACACACACACACACACACACACACACACACATACTCATGCAAAGTGACTCACAGCATTTTAACTGTGGTTTCAGCTCAGTTAAACATGTCAGATATTAACAATAATATATTAACGTTAATGTTCTTTCATATGCTGACCAGGATATGAATGTTAGGTCATTGTGCATCCACGTTCATAACAATGAAACAAAGGCCCACTGTCAGTGCTGAGTTTCCCATCAACTGTTTTTAGCATTACATTTTAGTATTACATTTTAGCATTCATAGAAATTTCTTAACTTTCAATAATGGTCAGCTGCTACTTTAAAAGTTTTTTGTGTGTGTATGTGTGTGTGTCAAAAATTCACTTTTAACTGCTTAACATCTGTGGCGCCCCCAGTTGGTGTGTTAGTATATGACTAGCACTGATTTCAATGAGATCTTGTATCTGATGAACTATAGGCTACATTTACACCTGTTGATCTCTCTACAGACTACAGCCCAAACTCTCCACTGTTCACTCCAGCTGCCATTAAACAGTCAGATCAACCGCTGAATAAACAGTGGGAACTCCAGTCAGTGACCACCAGCTGCCCCCTCTCCACTTCTTGTTTGTCACCCTCATAAAGAGGAACTGTACGACTTATCACCAACATCCTCTTTATCCAAACACACCGGACAACACAGAAATGCATCCAGAAAGACACACCCAAGTTTTCAAAAGTCTGGGTCAAGAGTTGGTGGAGGCAGGAGGAGGGGGAGGAGGGAGGGGGACTGTTCATTAAACTGTGAAACATCCAACGACATTTGCGTGATGATGAATTAAGACTTTGGTTCATAGTAATAGAGACTGAGATGCCGACACAAACCTGCGGGTGTGGAAACAACAGCCTAAATATAAAAGGCTTTACAATCGATATCAGCACTGTCTGTGTGTGTGTGTGTGTGTGTGTGTGTGTGTGTCGTGTTTGCTGCAGCTTTCGCAGTGAAAACATCCACTTCCCTGTTTGATTTCTAACCTCACCTCGTCTGTTCGGTCCGCTCAGCGTCAGTCCGCCGTCCCTCCATGTTTCTGAGCGGGCGTTGAGATAACTGAGGCAGAGACAAACCCCATCCACAGCAGCTACAACGGCAACATCAGCTGCTCTCTGGCGCTGCTGCCTCGCTCACAAATCTTCTCCATGCTTTTTCCGGGGAGGGACTTCACGCCAGCCTGGCGTCTCTGGATCCAGCACAGTCTATTAACACGATGGTCCACTGTCATCACGTCATATGACCGTACGCATCTCGTTCCTATCAAAACATTTTCAATGAAATCCACCAATAAATAATGTTTTTTTTTCTTTCGTACAAATAACTGAGCAGATACAGGTAAAATATCCTGAAGTGGTAAAAACGTATTGTCCCTGAAAATACCCTGAAAAATCTTTTAGTAAATTAATAGTTTTCAGTTATACATATTATATATATTTTTCAGTGAAGAAAAAAAACATTACCTTTTTAAAGTGGCATGCTTCGTTACCAGCGCCAGTGTATAGGCTACTAAACGTGATTCAACAAGTGTCTCTGTGCAGGGAATTTCACTTGTAAGTAGTAACCTAAAAAAATCCCCTCAGATAAAATCTAGTATACCCCTGAGTCCAGTGTCTTTGATACCAAATATATAAGTCCGATTTACCAAAAATAAATAAATAACTTGCTCACCAGGAAATTTTAGGACATTTTTTTAAATAAAAAAAAATAGTAAATTCTGGAAAACAGTGTGGTGGTGTTTCCTGTGTCATTACACCACTGTGTGGCAAGAGGACAAAAGCCATCAGAAGAGTCCTGTAATAGATATATTAATCACAGATTTCCAGATACTATTTTATACAACTATAAATTGTTTTGGTGCTGAATATTTGTAAAAGCTGCACAGTAGCCTACACATGTCAAATGTTTCATTTATGGCCAAATTTCTTAAATAACTGTGAGAACAGGTATTTGGTAACAAATCCTTATTAGATTATTTATTAGTTTATCATTACTTATTAAATTGTTATTTTATTGTTTATTGTTATTGTTTGACTACATACTGAAGAAGTGAAAAGGTGAATGAGCTCAATGAGCTTTAAAAACCAGAGGCATTCAGATTAAACCCTCTCTGTAATTCCACAGAGAGACACTGGTTACACTTTACTGATTAAAATTTAGAAAAAAAAAAAAGAAAAAAAAAGAGCCAATGAAATATATAGTTTATTTACAAGAAGACATGGGTTTACATTTTATACACATTTTAGATCTTTTTCAGAAAGGCACTTAATCAAATACTCAATGCAAATTATCAACAAGATTTAGGAAAATTCAATTTGGTAAAAGGCACATTTAAAAAAAGCAACAGCACACGAGGAAAAGGTATAAGAGGGGTGTACACAAAACCAACCATGAATAAACCAACAAAACATTTTCAGACTTTGAATGACAAAATGGCAATCATGACTTTAGTCCAACACCGTGATTAAAAAAATCCTGGTATTTATGATGAGGGCTTAAGAGCTTTAATGTAAAACTAATCATCAGCTATCAATGTAGCCTTGAAAGATCTCCCAAAACAAGAACTACAAGCAGAAAACAAAACACACACAGACTCACACGCGCACACACACACACACTGGTACACACCTAAACAAAACATGGATACTTCAATAGGTAAACTATTTTACCTTCCCAGATGGTAAAGAAAACCTTGAGATGAGTGGTGTTGGTGCAATGAGATAACTGTATGATAGCAGAAAGAAAATATATGCATGATGTTGTGAAGACAAGGACCAGAGGGATACAATCAAATCTGGTTCTGAACAGATTGAGAGTGAAAGGAGGAAGGAATAAAATACGGGAACATTTGATTTAAGGCAATGGATAGACGTTCCGACCTGGTTAGTGTGAGGAGACGACGTTTCCCTTCAACCATCGGTATGCTCACTTTTCTCACAGGGAGCAGAGGCTCCAACAGTGACAGTTTAGTGGTTACCTGGTGACTAAAAATCAAAAGACAGATCCCACTGCATAGCAGAGAGTGAAAAAACAGAGTAAGATTGTAAAGAATATGTACATTGTACTGTTTGTTCCTCCAGAGTGTGTTGGTCAGCGGGCTATAGTTATACATGAACAGATTCTTGACAGTACAAGTGCAGTGAATGAGCCGGTCAAGTTTTACTAACAGTTCCTCTCTTTTAGTTTCTTTCTGTTTTGCCACAATGGTCCTGTCCATGGAATGTATGGAACCTGAGTGTGTGCACGTTCTCCCACAACTCAACTAAACTGCACCCATCCTGATTTGACAGCATCTTTACTGGAGCTGTGGAGGAGAGGGGGGGGGTTGGAGGATGAGCGTGATGATGGGAATGAGGAAAGACTCAAACAATCATGTAAAACCAACACAAATTTGACAGATGGATGAGATGGATTATTAAACAAGAAAAAGATGCTACGGACAATTTCTGGAAAAACTTACTTGGAACCTGCAGATGTGAAATCTCCCCACACGTCAGAGCTGGGCTGGGCTGCAGGGACAGGGGAACCAAAGTCTAAAAGAGCGGCTGCGTTCGGAGAAAAACAATTATGGAAAGCATGAATGATGTTTACAATATGTGAAAATGTTTTAGAATGTTTTGATCTGCTACAAAAGCAGTGTGATCACCAGTGTTAGACTGAACAGCTGCGACTGTCTGCTGTCCGCCAGGAGGCGGCATGACCCCTCCAGCCTTTGCTCCTGGTGGAGGTGGGAGCAGACCGCCACCCATCGGCCGCGGTTTAGCACCACCTGCATCCTTCTTCTTGATGTTCTGTGGCAGACAGAATCATGACAGTAACTAAATTTGTTTTCTTGTTTAAAAATGTATTACAGTCTTATTATTGTTCTCTCTTTCCATCTGTGATGGCGACATGCTCACCCCAATGCTGATCTTGATGGTCTGTCCTTCTTTGAAGCTCAGGTCCAGTTTAGGTGCTGCGCTCTGAGAAGCTTCCAGTTTTGCGAGCTCACCTTCTTGCTTCACCCACCTTTAGAAACCAAGTTTATTTTAAAAAAAAAATCGAGTTTATTTTAGTAATTTTATTCAAGTAATTTTGGGTTGAGTTAAACTTTAAAATAATGTGAGCGAAACTGAGCTTGCGCAGTAATAGATACAGGACATCAAAATAATTATAAATCAATGGCTCAACATTTTTGCAAAGTTAGTTTGAAAATATTGTTAAACAAATATTTTTGCCTTTCTGTAAATATGTTTTCATTCTAAAAATGTTAAAATATGTTATACTTTTATTTATAGTATTTACTTTTAAGTAAATAATTTTATAACATTATGTGTTAAGTTGACTCAATAATTAACTTAAAATAATTTTTAGGCAGCAGTCAATATGTGAGTGTGCACTTAAGAATAAAACTGACACATGCATGCTATGTAAATGTGCATTACTGTCCACTCACACATAAAAGGAGGAATGTTGCAGTTTCCATATTAATTTAAACATGAAAAAAAGTTTCAAATATGTGTCTAAAAACATGCACAAGTCAAACAGTGATATGTTCATGTACAGGTTGTATGTATAAATACACAACAGGTGCTAAAATGCCTACACAGCAGAGGGTTACTCACTTAAAATGGTCTTGTAAAGCGACATTGAAGTCAAATGAGTCTCCGCGGTCAGCAAAACCCAGACCAATAAAAGCATGACGTCCTTCAATCAAAGCAATTGTAAAGACAAAAACACGTTAGCGTACCCTTTGCATCCCACGATAAAACATAAAAAAAATATTCCTGCAATATCAATACAATAAATGTATTAAAAATCTTCTTTCACTTGACAACGCCAGTGTGAGACTGACTGACAGATGGAGAAAAATAGCTGACCAATGATGCAACAAGCTAATGCACTATTTCACTACCACCATCCAATCTGAATACTATTATTTTGACATGGAGAAATGTAATTCGAAAGTCTGACTATAGTTTGTCGAATTTACAGCCTTTCATTTAAATCATAAATTTAGATTCAAAGAGATTTGTTTATATAAACGTGACATTAAACTTAAGGGATGATTAGCTCAGTATATCTGCTGACTTTCTTTAAATCAAAGTATATCTTTTATTTTATAGATTTAGAGATAGATTTTATACAAAAACTAAGCTGTCTTTATAATTGGGGTTGTCATTACTGACTTCTACAATATACAAGTGTAACATTTTAAATCAATATAGTTGTGATGAAAGTATCTTACCATTGCCATCCTCTATCCGGATCACAAAATACCTGCTGGAGTCTGTGACTGCTTCAACTACACAACCTGGATACTGTTCGACTGGAGCTTGTGCAAACAGCTCTCCTGCAAAGAACAAATTTACACCACATTGTGCCTTAGGAGTATTTTCTGTGTGGTAAATAATCAGGTGAAAAGTGCTGGTGGAAGACAAAGCAAGCTTGTTGACAGGTGCTTTAATCACACTGTGACAAACTGGTGAGTTTGTACATATCTTCTTTAAGGAAATGAAACATGTTCTCTATGATAAATGTCACTAGAACTGAAGGCGAGACAAGTCTGGATCAAATGTGGTGAATCTGGTGACATTCGTGGTAACTGGTTGCCATGGTTGAGGCAAAATGTTACAATAAAATGTGAAAGAGCGGCAACATGCTTGTATTATTTAGTCAGCTGCAAATTCACCCCAAGAGATACTCACCTGTACAACTGCACCACAAAACAAGTCATGTGTCTAACTAGCCTGGAGCGTGTGCTGAGCAAACACGTGACAGAAAAAAATGGAGGGTCAGTAGACTTGTTAATGTGAAGCAAGCAAGGCCAAGAATCTGCTGTAATCCTCTGCTCAGTAATGTTAAATTGTTGCATACTGCGTTTCCTCACACAACTTTTCAGCTCGTCATCTTCCTAAAGGTCACAAACACCGTTAAATGTGGAAGACGTGTTCACTTTCACTTTAAACAGTGCTTTCCTGACACTTGGTACTCTGGTGGTTGTGGAAAGTTAAGAGACTCACTTCTGAGTCAAGTAAAATGTTGCCTAAAGGAGTTGATTGTGAAGCAGTTTGTCTTGGTGACATTGGTCGAGAGACATACAAACATACATTGTGAATTATGTACACACACACATATGCAGAAAACACAACTTCAAATTTAGTTGCAAGGAGATTTATTTACCTGTATTTTTGTCCTCTAACTTAATGAAGGCCATTTTGCCTTTAGCAGTGATTTTCATCCTACCGCTCCATGCAGGTTCATCCAGCTTCCAGTCAGCAGCACTAGAAAAACAAGAAACACACATCTGAATGTGAAAGTGGTTTGTGTAATCTTCATTCAGGGGAACAGCTGACTCGATCAATGTCAGGCTGTAGCTTTTTGCAGCAGAAGGAAGTGAAATTATAAGTTTTTAGGAAGACTAAAACAAGACATTTTTGGAAACAGCGAGCTCTTTTGTTCTGCTGCCAACTGCAGATAAGCAATCCTGTGAGGGACTTCAGCTTAAAAGCTACAGAAAAAGCCCCCCCCCCCCAAAAAAAAAAAAAATCAAAGTATTTTGATAATGCAAATAATTGTTGGTTGCAGCCTTACATTACTTCTATGATGGAATAATGCTGCTTTGGCCTTAGTTTTCTGTGTATTCATTACTTGATAAGCACAAAACAAATAGAATTTGTTCCTTTACAACAAATGAGGACAATGTAAACCAAAACAATTTATAGTTAGTTGATATTTTACTCTATAGTGCAAATGTGCTTTTAATCATATTATGCAGAGGAAACGCCATAGAGTGAAGCTGGAGGTGGAGCCTTGTATTGACTGCCCAGGTTTCATTAACCTCATCAGCAATGTCAGCATTTCTCATGTCTTTCACGACTAACTCGCGGTAACTTAGGATAAAGCGGAGAAAGCGGTTGTTTGTCAGCAGCGGCACTTGTTAGCCACTCGCCTGTGGAGACTATGTCCGTTAATCTAAATACTTTTAGTACTTTTCTGTCTGTGTGGGCTGTAAGCGTCGACAACATCTAGAAGGGAAAAGAGAAAAGTAACAAACATCCATCCTGACGACCCCTTTCCGTTAAGTTAGCTTTGCCGAGCGACACTTGTCTGTTACAACCGTTAACGCTCTCTGTGGTCATCTTACCGATATCCACGGTTAGAGGCCCGCGGCGGGATCCGGTAAACATGAACCTCAGGCTTTACGCAGAGCATTGACTCGTAAGTGTTGTCTTCTGCCATTTTGTCAAGTTTCACTGACTAAAAAAAACAACTTCCGACTTTCAATGGACACCACGGCTGGGGCACAACTAGACGACAACATCCCACAGGAGCAGGGGCGCTGATTCAGACAGCGCCGCCTCTGGTCAGGATGGTCCGAGCACCTGAAATGTACGGAAACAGATGGCCAGTACAAAACTGAGCTAGGGCCAGTGTACGGCTGCAGCAAAGGCTGGACTTTCCAGGGCCTCCAGATCCCCAGTTTCACTTCATATCGTGTTGAGGACACTCAGTGTCAAACTCTATTTCTATTTTAATTTATACAGTACTCATTTGTTGCAGATTGGTTCATCATATTACATCATTTTTTTCAGATTGACTGCAACCAACAATTATTTTCATCATCTATACATCATCCCTCAAACCATAAGTTAACATTTTTAAATTTAATTTTTGTTTGACCAAAAGTCCAATAAGGTGGAGGTCATTTGGGGTCCCTGGGGAACTCAGCAGATCATGACACAAGCAACTCCTCTGACTGATTTGACTCAAACCTGAAGATGTCATCTCAAGCCACTCAATTCTTTCAGTCGACTCACATCATCAGCAGAGTAAGAGGTAAAAGAAAAAGTGGGAGTGCATTATTAGTTAAAGAAAAATACACTGCACATCTTCCAGCATGACTCTGTTAGGAGCAAAAGCATAAATGTTCCCAGCTAAACGACAAATAGATTATAGTGGTCCTGCACCCTAATAGGTGCTGGGCGTATTTGCTGCTGTACATTTTTGTCTAAATTTCTCCCTCAAATCCATAACCTGACCTCATGTCTATACAAATCCCAAGGTTCAATCCCTTACAAACTTATATTCATATCACCTCTTTGTAATGTATGAACACAGGAGGGTGCACAGTCCCTCAATGCTTTATGAGGAATAAATCATACAACTTTCTGCTCAAGAACCAGGTTTCATGAAATATAAAACATACACCAAGCTCTCTCCTTGAAGTGTGTTTATTAAAGGGTATTCAAATTTCATGTGTTTTTCAAGTTTCAAAATAACAATGACATCAAACCAGCCACAAACACAACAGGAGCTGTGAATGTCTGAAACAAAGCATCATGGGTAAAATCACACATGTACAGCATGGTCATTTGCTTTTAGTGATCAATTTAAATTTATAACAAACCCCTCTCATTTCATCCCAGTCCCTGGGAGGAGTGTATTACACGCATGAATAGAAATCAGTGACGTTACAACCTTTCGTGTCACTCCTCCAAACAGCGTATATTATCTCATAAAACAAAAATACCGAGATATTAGAACTGCAACAGAGAACTTATTAGCTTTCTGTCCTCAAACAGCAAAAAAAACTTCAGTTCTACTCTAACTTAAATTCCCAGAGATCATTAGTGAACGATGCACTCCTCTGACCTGAAGTTTCTTATTCTTTGGCAGGTAGTGAGGTTGAATAGGTGGAACAAATGCAGCAGTTTTTGCCATATTGAACAGTTTGCTCTATAGCACATTCGCTCACTGCAAGGTGTTTAATTTACTGTTAATTATAGTTTCAGTTCATTACACTTCCTGCCAATAATCTATTTACCTGGAATTATTGGGACAAATTATGGTGAAAGCACAGCCAAGAGAAGCTTTACTTTACATTTACTGAGTGTGGTTTCGTATTTTCCTAAAACTCTAGGTCAGTGTGGCTATCAACTGTGCATCAATTATCTAGGATTTACATATGTAGGATGTAGGATTTACAACAAAATAATTGGCCTACTACATGTGCACAAAGCAAGATTAACCAGCATGGACTACACATAACTATCCATGGAAAATGTAACCAGGGATAATTGTTATTTAAGGCAAAGTGTTAAAAGGTTAAAAATTTGCTGCAGGTTCATTTATTGTGAACCTTTCAATAACTGTCAGTACTAGCAAGTCATCAGTATTTGATTACATTATTGATTTCATGGTTTGCAAACTTTCATTTTCAATTGGATGCAAAAAAGCAGACAATGTTGTAAAACCCTGGAGCGGAAAAGAAAATCAAAACACACAGCACTGAAGACATTCATCTAAACCAGAAAGTGGAATCTGGCTTCTTTCTAAAAGGACACTGATTAAAAGGTGAGATTTCCATTATTATTTTCATAGTTTAAATCACACTTTTCCCTGACCCCGACAGAATATTTGCCAAAAGGAAGCATGGGATTATGACACGCTGGGTATGAAACTGTTATTTATGAACAATTAACAACCATCATTTTAATAGCACACAGTCAGTCCACATACTCCAACAAAGTCTTCTTTGCTGGACAGATGAATTGCATTTGGCTGTAAGAGAAGCTCCAACTAAGCTATACCGATTAGAAGCAGTGAGACAACACAAACAGGGACAAAGATGCATGATTACTTCTTTCAATTCATGAATAGGTCCAACTTATTCCAATTTGATGAACTTTAATATGACTCTACCAGTAAAGTTTGCTATGCAGACTACATCATCTATTCTGGCACAAACTACTGATCTCCTGACTTAAACAGACTATGACTCAAAAAAAAAAGAAAAAAAAAGAAGAAACACACACAAACATGAAAAAAACTATGTAAACTGTTTAAAACAAAACACAGCACAGGTAATTAGTCAATACATAAAAAACAAACAAAATTCAGGGAGTAATTTCATTATTATTGCTTGAATAAGCTTAGATTTAGTGACACTGTCCTTCCGATCTATAATCTTTGGCCACAGGCTGTGTGCCCACCGGGCGTTTCTCCAATAGCCACCAGTGCCAAACAGAGGCCTATGGACTGTTGAAAGTGCTGGTCTGGGCCACTACAGTATCAAAAACACACTTTTGAGCACAGGGCACTTTTACTCAAAGGGTTTTCTATCACCTCGTTCTGAAGCTGCTGAACACACAGTAAACTCTCGGCACTGTCAAGCACTTAATTTCCACTGAACCCAACAAACTGAGGCCAGCTTCCCGGTGGACACCCAGCCATAATCCACGCTCCATCAGTGGAAAGGCCAGTTTGTTTGTTTGCATGTCTCTGGGGAATTCCCACAGATTCACAAGCTCTCTTTATTCTCCCTGAAGAGACAGACACCTGATACCCTGGCACTCGGCCGGCCAATCAGACTTAAAATCATAGGGCACCTCATGGTACATCGAAGTATCACAGTGTGTAGGGATGTGAGGCAAAAACCTGTTCACAGTGTGGAACAGAAGGGGTTTCAGATCTTTGGCTGATCTCTGCCAGCCCCTTGTAACGATCCACATAAGGGAGAAGACAAGGCGAAAGGCAAAGACCATGCCAGTAAGCAGAGAAGAGAGAGGGTGGAGAAGATCATCCCAATCCATGCAACGCCTTCATATTTCTAATGTCTGTCAAATTTTATGTCATCCCACCACTCTGCTCTTCATATCACAGACAACCCCTTTAACTGCCACCCTTCATGGCCTCTCAGGGAGACAGCTGTTTCCTTGCAGCAGGCAGCTCCAGTTTATCTGCACAGTCGAAAGCCTGAGGTGCCATCTGGGCCGGTGGGCTGGCGGATCACATGATTGTTTGGACGAACTGGTTCTGGTGGTTGCTGCGCACTCAGACGAGTTGGCCTAATAACACAGGGAAAAAACGTAGAATAAATTATATGTTTTTTCTACTAATATTATCCACTAATTTCTATCTACATAATTTCTTCTCCACTTTAACAAATGTGGGTTTTGTAGTTTTTGCCATAATAATGTCTTACCTGTCCTGGCATGGATTGTCCTGAGGAGTTTCATCTGAAGAAGCACTACCCAAAATCCTTCTCCTGGCTTCTGCATACTCCGCTTCCCTCTGGGCCAAAGACTTCATCTGCTGAGAGGGACGAGACGAGGATGCAGGGTTTCCTGTGGTACCGTTATTTGAAGGACGCTTTAAAATTCGAATTTGTGGTGGGGGTGCTGCAGGCAGAGAGTCATCCTGGATTACTATAGCAGTTTGCACAGGTGAACCACCTGATCCCAAGCTGGACTTCCTGCACAGGTGAGAAAGTGTGAGAAAAATAAAGTTATTTAAAAAAATATATATATATATACTGAATGTATATATACACATCATATATTTAAGACTTTTGATAAATCTGCTGTTTACTTACTTTGCCTCCTGATTTATTTTCAGTTTAGCTTCAAGCCTTCTCTCTATTTCCTGAGGAGAAAGACATATTTATCATATTTTTCTTTACTGTACAACAAGTTCATTTTCTGTCTCATTGACAGCAGACATGTTCACGAGATCTGTGTTTCTAAGTTGCTGGCATCTGAGAAAACATACTTCTGGAAGATATTCTGATACAATTCAACCATTACACACCAATAAATGCTATAGTAAGGGATCTATTTAATCTCTGGACAACAGAGAATACAGACTACAGAACACATTACTGCACTCTGTAATACCACATGGAGGGCCTAACATAGACTTCAATTGTGTTGTATTTGCAGCACGTTTGTGTGTTTGGCTGTGTTATGAGTATTTGCAGCACGTGTTATCAAACTGATTAAGCTGTTTTTGAATTTGTTTGTACTTTTGAGCTCTCAGGGCCACCGTAGGCAAAATATATGTAGTTGTAATTGACAAATATTCATATACAGCCTACTAATGCATTTTACTTCTAAATCATTTTAACCTCCCTTTGATGATAATAGATCAGCTGCTTTTAACAATAAAAAGGTATTGATATTGACATCCTGGTCATTTTATCACTTGGAATTGGATTGAAACCAACTTTTTTATTCCACCTGTAGTATAATCTACCAACACATGCTAGAAACCCCTGCTAGAGCTCTCTGGTTATACTACAACTATTCTCTCTCAGTGAACCTGACTCAATACACTGTTATGTTATTCTAATGATTCACCTCAGTGCAGCCTGTCATTTCCGCAATGGGCGGGTCTAAACAATGGTGCCTTTATAGGAAAAAGTCTGCTTTGTAAAAATTGAGCCCTCTTTATGGTTACTACTCCGGTTTTGCACGCATTAAATAAATAATCATTTCGTAGAGCAGATGACAAGAAGCCAGGCTCAGTCCCAAATCGTAGTGGGACAGCGAGGCCTGCAGGACTCAGCCCGGAAGAGAGGCTGCTGTCTTTGATAAGAAAACAAACCGAAATAAATAAATAAATAAAAAACGTGTATTAATTTTCAAGCATTACACCTATCCAGCGTTTCGTGGGTCACTGCTAAGTGGCTGTCGAACTGAACTAGGGTTACAACCTGGTTTCGCACGCCATGTATTAGTGTTTCTCACCCCGCTGTCCGCTGCCTCTTCCCAGCTCTCTGCAACCTCCTCATCCTCCATGTTTAACAGGACTACTGGCTGGTTACCTCCTCGGCTCCACCGGCTAACTATTTCCCATTCACGTCGAGGACAATTGACGGGGAGCAGCTTCTGCACCGACCCACGGAGAGTTCGATTTAACGGGTTTTTGTTGTCAGATGAAGGTTGAAGGACCAGATTCACAAATCTTTCCCTGGCCGCGTGTGTTAGCCTGTTAGCTTAACGCTCCACTGTGGACACCCTCCTCCCCTCCTCCGGCTGCCTGTTACTTTAAATTTGGCGTCACGTCCACCTCGGTAAATCAACCGGTTGCCGGTAGGTCCCACACACCGCTCAGGGGAAAAATGACGACTGTATATGTATACAGTAACCTCTACCTGTCGACAGTTATGTTAGCTGTTAGCCAGGTTTAAGACCTAGCGAAACGACGCTGAAGATCTCTTCTGATTGGGCAGTTAAAGGGAAAGTTAACGGAAACTTAACTTTGGTTAACCGGTTCTCCGTTTTCTGCTCCTCTTACTGTCGAGAACACAAGAGCTGTCTGAGACCGACTCTTGGATTTGTGAAAACTCTATTTTATTTATGAAAGCAAGGAAGAACGAGTTTACTGTTGTTTTTAAACGTTTTGACCACATCGACAATGTTCAAGATCAAAAACCACTACTTACCAAATATGGACTAGATTATGCCAGACAGATTTAAGATACTTTAAAACACGATTTCAGATTGGTAAAAACCTTTATTGTATTTGTGAAAACGCATTGTACTTTTTAATACTATTGTACTACACCACTACATTTATTTGGCGGTTTTAATTAGTTTAGTTTACACATAAAAATGTTCATAAAAAAATCATCTTAAAATATGATGCTTTGTTATAATTTAAACTACCAAACAGTATAGTACAGTTGAAACAACAGAAAATTCATTGGAAACTATTGTGATAATCATTTAAATCATTTTTCATACAAAATGCCAAACAATCATGGTTCCAGGTTCTCAAGTGTGAGAATTTGCTGCTTTTAATAATATTGTAATAATTGGTTGGGCAAGCATCATGTACGTGGGCTCTGGGTATTGGGTAACTATGACGGGCATTTCTTATTATTTTCTTAATTGTTTCAAACCAAATAATTAGCAGATTAATCCATAATGAAAGTAATCATTAGTTGCTCCATCTCAAACAACTGCAACAGTAAAATGCTTTTACATTAACACACGAGTAATAATGTAATGGTGTAAAGTATATAGTTTAACACTCATGGGGGGGATTGAGTGTTAAGTGTTAGGGGGGATGGGGGATTTTGGGGACACGTTTCTGCATTCGGTACATTTTCCTGATTATACCTAGACATTTTTACTCAAGTAACATTTTCAATGCAAAACCTTTTCATGTAACAGAGTATTTTACAGTGCGGTTTTAATGCTTTTTTTTAATTAAAAGATCTGAATACTTCCTCCCACAAGAACACTTTTTATATTTTAATGGGTTTCATAGGGTAATCACAACTTTCCCCTGGGCAACACTTTTGCCTGCAGCGGCTGGGGGCGCAGTGTCTGGAGCTGGGGACCCACCCTGGTACCACGGACGGTCCGCGGCTGCTGGAGCGTCGCTGTGTTGCGGAGGACGCTCTTCACAGAGCGGAAGATGGCGACTGTTTGGAGGCTGCAGAGGAACCTCCGGAGCTGATACCGGGGAGGAGGAGAGAAGAGACACACTCAGAGACCACAGAACACCACGTCTAAAACAACGGTATTAACAAGGCCGGATTCAGGGTTTTCAGTTTCAGGGTTGAAATCCCGACAAAGTGTCTGACATTAGAGGAGCTACCGTTAGCAAAGATTACCAGCAGTACACCTGACTCAAGATAGCAGCTAGCTTGTTAGCTGCCAGGGTGTAACTGAGCCTGATATGATGTCGTGTCATTGAGGTAATTAGGAAGTGGATGTGTTTCCATGCGGTGTCGAGCAGAGGTATGTAAAAGAAAACGCATCAGCTGTGGCTCTTTGCGTTTATCTAAAGATTCGTTAATGCTAACGTTAGCTTGGGTGCTCATGAAAAGTTAGCTAGCGTCGTTAGCCAGTGCTAGCACATATTCTCTGAGGATCAAACGTTAAATTCAGCAACATGTACACGCTGGTTAGTCAGCGAAAAAGTGTTTTGCAGCATAAGCCATTCCTCGTTTAGCTGTATGACATAGCACACGTTCAATGTATTTTTCCTGTGTAGATATCTTTCGGAGATAATTAGCATTAGCAGTCCAACATTTCATTTATTATGTCACGGCTAACGACAGCTAGTTAGATGTAGCTAACGATATAAGAGGGACGTGCTGTGTGCTGGGGCCAGCTGTGAAGGCTAAAGAAAGGGCACCACCCGTTTTAAACAATGGGTGTAACAATTAAGCCTGCTGCCACAAAAATGCTATATTGGTTACAGGTCTGCAGTGTCATTGGGTTTCTAGGGTAGGATCAGATCTTATCCAGTATTTCTCATTAAATTTGCTTTCCAGAAATCCAATAAGGAACATATAGGGCAGATGTGCAACGGGTGAGTCTACCAGCATAAATAGAATAATTGATTTAAAAGCTGTTTTATTGTAGCTAAATGTGTCTAATAGATGCTATACATGCTCCTGAGCATCATGATCATCGGTGCATACATCACTAATATATCTCCGGATGTCTCAACAGACAACAATGTCCCGCTCCCCTGACAATGAGGATGGATGCTTTGTTGCCATGGATACGGAAGACGATGGTACAGAGCCTGCTGGGATAACAGAGGAAGTAGAGGCAAAGATGGGGTCCTGCCGACAAGAAGGGAACATGGACAGTGGTGCCAAAGGAGGAGGGAGAACAATGATGGAGTTGCCAGAGGAAGTTCTTGAATATATTTTGTCCTTCCTCTCACCTTACCAGGAGCACAAGACTGCTGCGCTTGTATGTAAGCAGTGGTATCGCCTCATTAAAGGTATGCCTCTCGTATTTGCATAATCATGTTCAAAACTGAATCACAAGGTGGACTGGATAGTGTCACTGTGGTGTGAGTACACCATGAGCAGAGCAGGGAAACAAGGCTTTAAACAAGAATTCAGTGAAATGTGCTCATACTCCAATTTGAACATTCTGCATGTGGTAACATAACCTCTTGTGTGCCTTTTATTTACTTACATTTTCTCTTAACTAGGTGTTGCTTATCAGTGCTACCATGGTTTCTTGAGAGCTGTCCAGGAGGGAAATATCCAGTGGGAAAGTCGAACATACCCATATCCAGGAACCCCTATTACTCAGCGCTTCTCACACAGTCAGTATATGTTGCCTTACCACAATTAGAGTTTTACATCATATATTCAGTGTTGAATGATACCCCTTTTTTCCCCAATAAACCCATGAAGTTGCTGAGAAATACAGTACTTAAGGTTTTGCATCTAGTGCCTCAAAATGTTTTTATGCAGTTTTATCTGTGGATCAGGTTATGAGTCCAGGGTAGAGCAGATAAATTGCCTTCTATCTTGTGCAAGATTAGTGAGTCATAAAAAAAGAGCAATGTCAGCTACATAATCGGTTTTGTTATGATATGGACTCCAACATCACTTAAAGATTTAGTGTTCAAGTTTATGTTTTCAAGCTGACGCCACAATCACAAGCTTTGCATTTTTACATCTCTCTCCTGCCTGTGTACCAGGAAGTTTGTGAACATTGTTCTTTTCCCTAAACCAATAGAAGTAACAGAAATTTTGTTTATTTGTACTTGCTTTAAAAGCATTTTTTCAATTAACATTGAACTGTGCACATATCCAGTGTCAAAGACTGTTGCTTAATTAATTGAAGGTCACTTATTTCTTAAGCTTATCTTCATGTTGATGCAAATCCCCATGTATGTAATCATTTAAATGCAGTGTTAGTTAACTGGATTTTTAAAGTAATGTGACAGAGACTAGATGGCATTTTGAAAGATCATTTATCGTAAACAACCATGTACACAGATCTGGAAATTTCTTCATTTATCATTTAATTGCAAACACTCTGGTTTTCCTGTTCTTGCACATGAAAAGAAAATGTATATTAAAAAGTAGCAATAAGAAGTATCTGTAAAACACTTGAAGCTCTCACTGTTTGCTGCATTTTGCTGTAAATTTGTGGCTAATTTTTCTTTTTTTGGGGGTTGCAGGTGCATGTTACTATGATTCAAACCAGTCCATGTATGTGTTTGGGGGTTGTACTCAGAGTAGCTGCAATGCTGCCTTCAATGATCTATGGAGACTTGACCTCAACAGCAAGGAGTGGATCCGCCCTTTAGCCTCAGGTATGAGTACATGGGGCTTATGTAAGGGGAACTGTGGGAGGGTGAACTCACAAATGTGGATACAGTACTAAGAGCACGGTGTTTGAGGAGGTGGCAGTAAAAAAGAAAGAAGCACCAGTGAAATCAGATGTTGGCAATAACATATGTCTTCAGTAATCTGATCACAACAGCTCTAAGTGTGTCAGTTCACACATGGCATTAAAATGTGTCTCCACATGGGTCTCGAGTGTCTAGTTGTGATCAGATCTCACTTCCCCACTCTATATTCAAATAAAAAAGTATGCGTTGCTGTTTTTAGCCACTCTGACTCGGACCAGGACCCATTCACGTTCACACTGCTAGAAGAATGTGGCCACATGTGGCCTAGACCACCTCTGAATATGGTCTGAGAGATCAGATATGAAATGCATCCTCAGTGCGCCCTGGGTGCATTCACACCTGTACTCAGAGCTCTCCACTTGTGATCGGATTACCCAAGATGGATGTTAATGCCCGGTCTGAACAGGGCCTAGGTCACTTCTGCAAAGACTATCTACTGTCAGAGACTTTGTCTAATGTATCATAAAATTAATGTTCATGTAATGTTGTCATGTAAAAATTTCAGCCACTTGTATGTGAAGTAGAAAAAGTATTACTTAGTCTTAGTCTGTGCCATGTTTTAAATTTCTGTTCAGACATTTTCACATAAGGAAATAAGTGGGAGTCAACTTAAAGTTTTAGGTCAGTTTGGTCAGTCATTTTCTCCACTAAATTGTTTTGGGGTTTATTTATTGGATTAAAGAATTACAGATATATAAAGCATCATGCTTATTCAGCCAAAAAGCCCCCCCCCCTCCAAAAAAAAAAAAAGTAAATAAATCCTGTCTCTGCTCTTTTCTTTTGCAGGCTCTTATCCATCTCCCAAAGCTGGAGCAACTCTAGTGATGCACAAAGATCTGTTAGTGCTCTTTGGGGGATGGACTCGCCCAAGCCCTTATCCACTGCACCAACCAGAAAGGTTTTTTGATGAAATCCACACATACTCTCCTTCAAAGAACTGGTGAGTTGGATTTCAGTGCCGGGAGCTAGATGCCATAGTTATGACGAATGATGAAGTAGTTGAAGCTCAGTACTTTTCATCATAATTTTTCTCTCTTCGTTTGATTTATTATTTCTTTTGCTTTTATCAGGTGGAACTGTATTGTAACAACACATGGACCTCCACCCATGGCTGGCCACTCTTCCTCTGTAATTGGAAACACCATGGTGGTGTTTGGGGGATCTTTGGGAGCACGTCAAATGTATGAATGTATTACTTGAATTTAATTACACTTTATCTAAAACTGAGCTGCATAGATTAAAGCTGAAGTCTGTAACTTTCTGCAAAGTCAAACTACTGGAAAGATGATGAGGTGTGCATTGCATTGCATTGCATGTTTGCAAAGGTCTTTCACCTCGTTGTTTCTAGACAGTAAAAATGTTATTGACTTCTCAGGTGTCATGTGATTGTGGGTATGTTCTTTACTGTATAAAGTTACATCCCCTCAGTTACATCTGCAGTGCTCAGAACCCATGAACAATCACTGTTGTTAAGCCCATAAAATGCAACACAACAAAAGCAAGAAATATTTTTCAACCAATGTAGTGTTTCATCATACTCTTTGAGTTGAATGTAAAACATTACATATTTAAGCTTTAAATCTTTAACTTTAACAGAAATGAATTTGTGAATGAAACCCTTGGCTGTCACACCTCACTGCGTTGTTCTGCCCTTTGTTGGTTCTTACAGGAGTAATGAAGTCTGGGTTCTGGATCTTGAACAGTGGTCCTGGTCCAAACCACCCATATCTGGCCCTTCGCCACACCCACGAGGAGGCCAATCACAAGTAAGGATTCCTTTGTTGATTCAAGCTATAGAAAATTATCCACTGTGTTTTCAACCATCTTTGATAGTGTTTTTGTTGATAACAACTTTTTTACGTGGTCCCACTTTGGTATATAGTATATGTATATGGTATATAATTGTTGTGAATTTTTAAAGGAGCTATTTCCATGTTTTGCTAACGCTACAAAGCCAATGTTAGCATCAATAGCTGTTTACTTACCTTTCTAGAAGAAACATTCATCAAACTTAATTCATTTACTTGCCAAGAGCTGCCTCCAGCACTGGAAAGCAACAATCTCGTTTTGCTTCTTTTTTTTTATCACTTCTTCTCTTGTACTGAGGTTAGCATTCTTAACAGCTAGCCCTTTTTTTTATATGAAATGAAATGATACCATTTAAATGTTTTCCTATTAGATTGTCATTGATGATCAGACGTTGCTCATCTTGGGAGGATGTGGTGGCCCTAATGCAGTAAGTTTCTTTTTTTTTTTCTTCATTTTAATGTCAGAACAACATACAGAGAGAGAGAGATACAAAAAGTATCTCCCAGCAAAGGTTTCATGTGACTACATGTGACTGCAGTTTTGACTTAACCTTTTATTTTGTGTATTAAAGCTCCTTAAAGATGCCTGGCTGCTACACATGGATGCGCCACCATGGAGATGGCAGCAGCTGCAGGTGGAAAATGAAGACCATGGAGCCCCAGAGCTTTGGTGTCACCCAGCTTGTAGAGTAAGTATCTGTCCTAACTGTCCCGCAATCATAGTGTGTTTGTGAAATCATAAAATCCATCACTAATGTGTCATTCTTTCTTCAAGGTGGGCCAGTGTGTGGTGGTTTTCTCACAGGCTCCATCTGGCCGTGCACCACTGAGCCCAAGTCTTAACTCTCGGCCCTCCCCCATAAGTGCCACACCTGCCCCTCTGGGCCCCGAACCGCCTTCCTTGCGCTCTCAGTCCCCTGTTCGGAGTGGGGCTGCCGGTGTTGTCCTGGGAGCTGTTGAAGAGGCTCCATGTGTAAATGGTCGATGGGGAACATTGAGACCTCGGCCTTCAGCGAGAGGGAGTGCCAGAGATGGAAGCCCATCCTCATCCCAACAGCCATCTCCTTCACAAGGCCCAGACAGCCCTCCTCTTCCACCACTTCCTCCATTATTAAATGGATCCTCCCCTTCACCCCGGACCAGCCCAGCCCAGGCTGCATCTCCTCCTTCCCGCCCTCACCCGCCTGCCTCCACAGACTATGGTTGGGAGTCTCCCCCTTCTGCCTCTCACCATGTTGAGGTCCCCAGCACTAACGGCCTACATACGCCTCCTGTAGGCTCCCCACGCACTCCCCCAGGCGCAGTGTCCCCCGCTGCCTTAAGACGAGGTCTGGAGGCAGTGAAAAACAAATCTTCCTCATCTTTACCATCGTCTTCTTCATCGTCTTCCCTTCAAACACAGGGAGCTTCTCCTGGAGGAGGAGGAGGAGGAGCAGCAGGTCCTCCTGGAACCCCTCCCTCATCATCCTCCAGCCCTCCACAGGCCGCTGGAGCTGATGGACATGCTATCCCACCTATTGCACGGCGTCTCGGTCATCACCCACCTCAGAGCCTGAACGTAGGCAAGCCTCTCTACCAGTCTCTCAACTGCAAGCCCATGCAGATGTACGTACTGGATGTGTCACGGGCCAAATCTGCTGGGGTGGTGTCCTGGAGAGTTTATGGGAACGGGACTCCTGCAGCAGTTACAGGGCCCCCGGAGACCAGCCTTCACACAGTGGTACAGGGCAGGGGAGAGCTCATCATTTTTGGAGGCCTCATGGACAAAAAACAGAATGTGAAGTACTACCCTAAAACCAACGCCTTGTACTTTGTACGCGCTAAAAGGTAATGCAGCTCCAGGTGGGATTGGGAAGACAGACGCTTCGCCCTGTGACCACACGAGGGAACTGACACACAAGGCCTTTTTCCTATAGAGAGGATTATGGGAAAAGAACATAATCATTGTTAGATGTTCCACTTCAGAACTTCACGATCCCCCCTTCTGCCTACTGCAAGCATTCAATATAAAACACTTTAACTACACTTTGATAAAAACATTTGGTTGAGTGAGAATCTTGGCTGTGTGTGTGTGTGTGTGTGTGTGTTTGTGAGTGCAGTGATTAGAGAGAACAGGACATTTCTTGTTGTTCCCCAAAAGGTGATCAACCAAACAATAACATTTCTGTTTTTCTGTGTCACCCTCCTCTGAACTCTTGAAAGAGGAACTATGGAAGAACGGACACTGTTGACAGAAACGGTTGACCTTGCATTTTGTATCACTCTTTAAGCCTGCAATGTTTACATTGAAAACGGTGTGAGTGTGTGTGTGTATGTGTGTGTTATGTGTGCACGGTGGTGGTTAAAAGTTGTTGACTAATGTGTGTCGGGGGCCATGGTGGGTGAGAGAGATGGCACTGTACTATAAACATAGTTAAACAATAAAGGCCTCCATGTCTGCTCTGTCACAGTCTTAACATGCCTGCTTTGTGTGTTTGTTTGTTGTCTATCAGTCATTGCTGCTTTTTTTTTGATGAAAATGCCTCAGGACAAGGTTCATTAGTAGCTGTTGTGGAGCTTTCAATCGTATCACATGATCCTCCTCAGCAGATGCACTTTGTCCAAGTTGTCATGGAAATGGAGAATGAATTTTCAGTCTGAATTTTGAAGCCAACATGAAGGGGAAGTGTGAACGCAAAGACAGGCCAAAATAACTTGAATTTTATAAGCATGTGGAAATCTGTTAGCTTTAATCACTACCCAGTGCTTCATGTTAATATTTTAATGCTATTGAATTCAAAGCATAAAAATATTTTCCTTCAAAGACCATCTGATTTTATTCTGTTTGAATTCCCCTATTTGAAATTTCCTGTAGGTCATTTGAAGTAGTGCACAATCTATGTTTCTTGGTTTGTTTTCACAAATTCAAACAGACAATTTAAATGTCTTAATATCCAAAGATCTATATCCAAGTTGTGTGAATCCAGTTATGGATCTAAAAATTCAAGTGGAGATAGTTTTAGTTGGTTTAATTCAAGTACCAAAATTAAAGATGAAAACTTCAAACCTGAACATCGGGGCTTTTGCCCTTTTGTAATTATACGTTTCTGACTTGTTCATGTTAGTTGGAATTTTTCAAAATTAAACCAATCCAAGTTAAGCAACTCTGTTTTTAAATTAGATATTTACTCAAATGTGACTTTTTTGAATATTTAACTCTTGAGTTTTCTGTCTGAATTTGTAATAAAGAAGAGGAAGGACACATGGTCCTCAATGTCAAATATTTCAATGCTCTAAATTCAGTTTTATTTACATTTTAACAAAGTATTGATAGTGATTCAATTTCACAATTAGGTGTTCAATTTATAAGATTCAAATGACCAAGGCCTGTCTTTGCTTCCATAAGAAGTGACAACTGAGCAAACTTCATCTGCTGAAGAAGATCATGTTATATGATTGAAAGCTCCAGAACGGCTACTAATGGACCCTGTAATAGTAATTAATGTAATTATTTTATCAACTTTAAGAGTGAAGAATGAACTTGCATTCTTAGTTACTGCATTTGATTTACTCGTTCAGAGGCATTTGAAGTAATATGTAATATATTTTCATGTTGTGCTTTATGGAGCTGTAGACCAGCGGCCTCTAGTGGCTGCTGACACAACACAAAAAGAAAAAGGGCAAATACATGAGTCATCTCAACTGGAAGTAGCATCATTTATTCTACATATAATTTACACATTTCCCAGCAAATGCTTCTGAGCATTTATGTTGTTTTTTTTAATTAACAGAGCAACCACATATTATATCCCTGTTTACTAAATTCATCTTTATGCTCAAAACGTCTCTAAAGCAATCATTTACAATAGGAAATATTTAATTAAATGATATGGTGTTGACGTAAAGGTAGAGGTTTGTTTTGTTTCTGAGACTATCCATGCTGTTTGTGGCAGATTAACCTTGCTTTAACACCTATCCCTAGTCAGCATTTGGATCTCTGCTCTCCTTTCCCTCAGACACTCCACCCCCCTCTTTGACCAACAATAACCTTTTACCCAGAGAGCTCCTATAGGACCAGAACAGGGGCAGTTTAGAGTAGAGCCATTTGATTCGTGCAGACTCAGGGATATGGTGAGGTGGCAGACAGGACTGAAAATGTATTGGCTCTGACCCGAGGCAGTGGGAGGAGACTTTGACAATGAATATGCTGAGGACACATGTTTACAATGATGGGAGAGAGGGGAAGAATGGAGCTGCACAGGATCACTGAACACTGTGAGTTTCTCAATGAAGTAACCAAATACAAGAGATATTTTCTAACTTTTCTAAAGGCAAGTGAGAGGAGTTTTTTATTTCAGTGTCTTTGTAACTCATGCTTTTATTGCGCATGTTTGTGTAGTTGTGTGTTGGTTTGAATGAACTTGAGTGGAGTGTGTTGTGTCTATTGATCTTGTGTGCTTGCAAGGATGCATCGTTTAATGTTTGATTTACTATTAAATCAAACTGTTTTCTATCCGTTTATGTATTTTCAGGTGTAGTGGTGTTGCATTTCCGCTCAACACTACTACACCCTGTAAGTTTAGAGTTAAACTGCAGGACAGGTTTCTAAAATATGTTTGTCATGAGTATTTCCTGGAGGACAATAGGTTTCTTCTCAGTCTTCCTCTGTCCTGATACGTAGGGCTGAGCCTTTGTAAACATACCTGCACCTTATATTTCAAAAATGTTGACATAAACATGAATACACTCTCTCATTCTCCTTGCAGGTGGTGCCTTTCTTAAACAGACTGACAGTCTAGGAAGCTAACGAAAGTCACTACAGAAAGACATCAGAGTGACGCATTGTCCTGTGAGACACAGGCAAAACAAATTCAATGAGTTATCACAAAAGCTGATAGAATTTGTTTTTGACATCACTGTTCTGTACCAAGTACAATACGCTCCCTGTTCCCTACCAACTTAGCTAAGGGGGACAAGTCATTTCTCAGGGATGACCAGTGCTCAGCTGCAGAAAACTTCATCCAAAGAGTCTGTGTTTGGTGCCCAACCTTCGCACAGGATGGCGTCCACTGTGTCTGCAGTTCCCCGTGGTGTATTCGGCCCTTCGTCACCCCATCCAGCTGTCTGGCCTCCTTTGGACTTTGCCCTGGGTGCTCTTGCCTGCTGCACGGCCTGTGTGTTCACCAATCCTCTGGAGGTTGTGAAGACTCGTCTGCAGCTTCAGGGAGAGTTGCGTGCACGGGGATCCTACCAGAGACACTATCGCGGAGTCCTGCAGGCCCTCTGGGTAGTGGGCCGCACAGATGGGATCCGGGGCCTGCAGAAGGGGCTCTCAGTCGGCCTGATCTACCAGGGTGTTATGAACGGTGTGAGGCTGGGCTCCTACTCCTACTGTGAAGCTTTGGGCATCACCTCGTTCCATGGGGGGAGTCTGCTGTCAGGGGCAGGGGCCGGGGCACTGGGTGCCTTCATTGCCTCTCCTGCCTACCTGGTAAGTTTTCTAAGGTTTCTCTTTTATTGTTCCTCTACTGCATTGGTTCCTAGTGTCCCGGAGGAAGGCTTAAGGTGGAATCACATCAGCGATGATATTTTAACAAAATATGAAGTAGAGGTTGACTGCTTCAATGGGGGGGGGCCATCTTTCTCTCCTTATAAACTGATTTGTATTTTTGAGGTTGGACACCACACTTACTGGGCCTTTTATTGGTTCACAATATTCACAAAGCAATCTCTACTTGTGACTCCTCATTACAGGGTGCATGTCTGTGAGCAGTTTATTCATTGTATTTTTTTATCCTTTCAGAGTGCTTCATTTTAATAGTTTTTAGAGGTCTGAAGAGGTAAAATTACACAGTATTTGACAAGAAAAAAGAAAATATTAGAGAAAAGTTTGTGTGGTATAATTGAGTCTTATTTTCTACAATAGTTAACACCTTGTTAATTTTTGCATCCTTATATTGCATTCAGGATATATACTGTAGATGTTACTGTTTGTGCATTATATCTTAACAGGAGTCACCTCTTATGCTCCTATTACTTCAGAATATTTTAAGTGTGTCCCTCAATTATTGTGCAGGATGTCGGCCATTATGTCGTTATGCTGGTATCTGTTATACACTATCTGTCAGTGTGTGTGAAATCAAAAAAAACTCATAGGAAATTGAAACCCCGTGTACCATTGAAAGTGGATCTCATCTGATTAGGTTACACTCAGCACACTCATGTCTTACACACAAGTTAAAGAAAACCATATGAGTTAATTAACAGCCAAACAACAGACATAAGGTAAAAGAGGAGCAGTGAGCTAATGTAGAAAGATGATACAGATAATTGTCTTCTGAGTCAAGTATTGGATATATATTACGCTAAAGGTTTCAGCACAACACTGCTTTTGTACAAACAGATGCGTAAGACTGTAAGATTAACTTGTAATTGAACCAGTTAGGTCAACCCTCCCCCAAGCTGTATATCTATAGCAACAAAACACATACATCAGTTTTGTAAACAAATTAGTGACAGGCAGCACACTACAAGGCCTGTGCAGAATCAGTCACCAGTTGACATACTTTATAAGCTACAGTAGGACATTTCTACATTAAAGGAAGTTCACATTTTGCAACATTGCAGTACTCACATGTCCGTATGTACACTGAAACAGTTTCTGCTTGCTGTAATCATTCCTCCTGTCCACACTGATCCTTTATATATCCTTTATAGTTCAGTGATGGGGGAGAAAATCTGTGTCAAAGCATTTTAATGTTTAGCCAAAACTAATATAAGGCTTCAGCAGTCTGTGATATAAAAATTAAAGCGGATATCTTCCAAAGTTATGTTCTTTTCACTATGAAATTCTCTCTTTTTGTTTCCCTGGACTGTTTCCTCACTGCGCAATTGTAAAACAAAGAGGGGATTTTGTACTCAGCAGCCAATAACTATTTCAATATACAATACATATGGGTATATTAATGTTGTTTTAAGACAGATTTGAAAAAAATGTGAATCTGTCCTTCAACAATAACTTTTTTGAGCCATTAAAGAGAAAGTTAAAGGGAGTTAAAAGGGAAAACGTGGAAAACAACAAAAACTGGGTAAAATGAATGAGTGGTAAATGACGCTGTCACACTGGGAGGCTCATCTTCAAGCCTGACATTGTGAACCATCTTCATTTGACTGTCAAGCACAAACAAGAGACTTGAAGGCACACAGCTCAGTTTCAAAGGCGTCTCATGTGTTCTAAATCTATTTTCAGCCAGTTACTGGAACTTGTGAGGAAAAGTACCATTACATTAGTGTGTGTAGTAGAGTCAGTTTAGTCATAGAAAGTGTCAATGTATGTCTTGATATATCATTTCATTACCCATCTGTCCACATGAGATCCACAACCAGGTCCCGCTCAGCTTTGTAGATGCAGATTTAATGTGCATCTATGAAATCGGGCAAGATTTAAAGCGCCTGTAATGTTTGTTTTTTTACAACATAATATCAGAATCACAGTCTCTTAATTTACAGCACATTTTTATGTGTCCTAATGTTGTTGTTTTTTTGCCGCAGCTGTCCATCAATACATTTTAAACCATCTAACCTTTTGCTCTGTCATGGAAAGACAATCTTATGTGATGACATGTTTGTCTATATCTAGGTCACTGAATATACCCTGCATATTGCTGCCGCAAATAGAAAGTATCTTATATCTTCTTGCTGTGTGCCGCTGGCAGTGAATGAAGGAAGGAGTTTTATTGACACTACGAATGAGGTCGAGTGGAGAGGCTTCTTGTTTTTGTTCGGCTATGAGTCTGGTCTGCATGTTGATCCTCTAGGTTTGCTGCAAATGAATGACTCAGGAAATGAGTTTGACCAGTTTCTGGCAAAGTATGTGTTTTATAACTCATGCATGGTGAACATTAGCAGAGTTACCTGTAATTGTTGCGCAACTCATCCTGGCATCAGATATTATCTGACGTACTGACAGGTCTGGTTTATATCTGTACTTAGCTTCATTTTCAGCACAGTATGTAAAACAGTCTGTTGTATAAACCTGAATGCACATTAAACCTTGTGTGCTGCATTTTTATTCATAGGTGAAGACCCATCTGCAAGCTCAAACTGTGGAAGCTATAGCAGTAGGTCATCAACATAACCATCTGGTAAGGCGGGCATATTCAAATAAGACATGTGCATACATTATAAGTTGTTTTTATATGGAATTGTTTCATAGTCTCCATTTTACTTATGTAAAAGCAGCAATACCAAAGTGCAAGTTTACTCCATTACAAGTAAAAGTTAATTAATGCGCTCATTATGCATAGTGGAATCTTTCAGTGTTATATTTTTTATTTTTTTTTGATTTGCTACAACATTAAAGTCCAAACAATATTTTAATTCTATAGCTGGTCTAGTTTTGGTAGTTTAAACTATAATGCTACATCATTATTTATACAGTGATCATTTAGTTTGTATGCATATCCATAGCCCCATATGAGTGTTTTCAGTTTTTAATTATTTATTTACCTCCGTTCCATGCTTTATTTACTTAGAAATACATTATGTTTGGGGTTTAAAAAATTCATATCATCAAAAATAATACAGATGCTATACAGAGAGATTCAGCTTGGAATCTGTATTACATTAATTGGTGTTTTCAGTTATGCTGTCTTGTTTAGACTTCTCAGGAGTGTGTGCGCATGTATACCCGGGCCTGACTGACAGCATCACACTTGCCCTGCCCTACCTCATTACCAATTTGTTGGTTTGGTGACATTATGTAATTTCCAGCATAGCCCCACCTAGTTTGTACCTGACCTTAGGCACTATTATCTGCTACTTCCAATTCACTTTTCACCTTTGTTTTTTTTTAATGTCAGGGAGTGTATGATGCCTTTGTTACCATCTATAGAAGAGAGGGTTTAATTGGTCTCTGGAGGGGTGTGAACGGGGCCGTGCCTCGTGTAATGGTGGGATCAGCTGCTCAACTGGCAACCTTCACCTCCGCCAAGGACTGGGTGTCGCATTCTCAGGTAGGTGTGATGAACAGCTGACATTTTTACAGTACATGTAGCTGAACAGTTGTCATCAGATTCTTTTCTTTCCTTGCAGTGGCTTGGTTCAAACAGATGGCTCACGGCTCTGATAGCTGCCATGATCAGTGGAGTCGCTGTGGCTGTCACTATGACGCCGTTTGACGTCATTAGTACGAGGCTCTACAACCAGCCGGTGGATGAGTTTCGTAAGGTCAGTTTAAATAATCTCTTTTCATCAAATTTGTGCTTGCGCTCAGTAATTGCACAAGGGAGTGTTGTAGGATTAAGATCTGGAGACTAAGTGTTTTCCTTTTCTGCCTTTTAAGGGACGTCTGTACCATGGATTTTCAGACTGTATGCTGAAAGTCTGCCAAGCTGAGGGCCTGTTGGGGTTGTACAAAGGCATGGGCCCTGTCTTTGTGCGCTTAGCCCCTCACACAGTGCTCAGCATGCTGTTCTGGGATCTGATGAGGGATCAGACTGTGAAGGTCAACCAGAGCCAGGGAAGGAGCTAAAACATCCTAAAGGCCTGCTTATAATCACTGGACTCAGTTATAGATATCAAAGTGTCCATCCATCAATGAATGGAAAGCTGGATTTAAAGAAAAGGTTTGACATTTTGAAAAATATACTTATTGGCTTTGTTGCTGAGAGTTAGATGAGAGGATTGATAGCCACTCACGGCTGTATGGTAGTCAGAGCTGGGCTAGCCGTGTCCCTCTGTCTCCAGCCTTTGTGCTGTAGTTTTATAGTCACTGTACAGACAGGAGCACTCTATCAGTCTTCTCTTCAAATTCTCCGTCAGAAAGCAAACTTGGTGAAAATGTCAAACTATTCCTTTAAGTGAGCATGTCCCTGTCCCGTGAAGAAAGGACGGTGGATGAATATTCACATACTTGACAGAAGATGGACACTTGCTGCACAGACTCTGAGAGACGTTTTGAATCACAATCCTCAAATCTATGAAGTGGGTGATGAACTTTCAGGTTTTACTTTAAATTACCTCAAATAATGAATTTGAGAAAAGTGACTCCCATAAGCTAGTCAATGAAGTGCCGATGAATGAAAGAACAAGTCCGGATTATTGAAACATAAACTCTGTATTCCATGGTTATAATCCAGTGTGGGTGCTGTAATCTGTCACAGTTTAATGCATAACTCCTGTTGCCTTGTCTGTTATATGTAAGGAAAGACATCCGATGGAAATGTTTTTATTTACTGCCATATGAACTACTGGTACCTAAAGCCAAGGATGCCATTTGATGTGAGTTTTTTTTTTTTTCTTCAGAAACGGGTACTTAAAGCTTTTGAACAGCAGTTAATAATAATAATAATAATAATAATAATAAAGACATTTTTTGTATGAAATGAATAAATGTATTTGTTTTTGTATCCTCTGGGACACAAGCGCTGCGACTTTGAAACACATCTAAGAGGCATTGTAAGCAAAGTGTGATTTTATTCTGACCCAGCTAAGAGGTGTCTGATTCTTCTGTAAACCTAATCATCTTTTCTGAGAGGACTTTCAGCCTCTTTCATCAGGAAATAGTGAGACTGGCAACTACAGTCAAATCACATTTGACCTTTGGAACTGGAGCATGGAGCGCACTCAGACCTGACCAACAGGAAGGGAACAGAGGCAACGTGAAATCTTCACCAAAGGTTTAGAGGAATTTAGCATAAACAGACTTGTTCTTCACTGCTGTTTGGGAACAGGTTTCAGATTGTGGTAGCATGAGTGAGAGATCATAGCGCTTTTGTCCTTGTGTCCTTGTGAAAACATAAAAATGTTTCTCCCCTTCTCGTGGATCCTGGGAACTTCTGAATGGACGCCTTTTGATTCAAACCCAATTGACTGTTTTCTTCAAGGTGAGTTGACATGCTTTTCTTCCTTGTGCCAAAAAAAGCTTCTATTTTTATTTTCTCTAGATTCTCAACACTTCTGCAAACAGTTTCTTTACATACTTACTTTTTGGTTGTGGTGTTTTTGTCAAAGGTCTTGTGGGTGCGTGTGGGATATCAGTGCTGTGCAATCTGATGAGAGTTTACCACTTCATTCAAACATGCAGGTGAGTTTATTCTTGAAAGGAAGAGACGGGAAATGTAATGAACTTTTAAGAGTAGCAGAGTTATTCTCTAATTTTCTCCCCACACAGTGATTCTGAAATTGAAAGTAAACAGAGGTCATCTTCACTCACCAGTCCTCTGAGAGGGAACTGGAGGGCAGCACTTCAGTTCTGGTCCCTGACACTCCTCCTGTCTCTGGTGGGCTCGAGGGTCTCCTCTCTCATAGTGCTGGAGTTCTCGCTCAGAGCTGTTTCTGCCTGGGCATCAGCAGGACTGGTGAGTTCAGTGCAGCTGATTTACAATACAATGCAGTACAATGGTTTTGTCCTAGTTTACATCTATTTCGGTGTGTACTCGCTGTGTTTTTTTCTTGACTTCAACATATGAATTCTCCTAACACTGAATTTACCCATTTTCATCCACACTCCTGTATTTGTTTTAACTCAGGATGCTGATGGCAGAGGCCTAGACCTTCTCTTGATCCAGTGCCAGTTTTCTCTGGGTTGTTGCCTCACCTGTACTCTGGTCTTCCTCCATCAGGGGGCTCCACACTGCTCCCTCAGTTTGTTTCTGGCAGCTGCACTCAGCTGGGCACTGGCAAGTGTCTGCCACAGTCTGTTGAGCCATGTGGCCAGACTTTACCCACTGCATAGCACAGAGCGTTACTGTGGGAAATGCATCACCCTCCTGACCTCCGGACACACCATACTGGCTTCACTGCAAAGAGTGGTTGTCTTGGCTTTTGCTCTTGCAACTGTGGCTTCCACCGCTACGGTTTATAACCACTTCCTGTCCCAGAAGGATGCTCTTAAGTTTTGGACTCCACTGACACTCTGCTACACTATGCTGGTGGTCTATATTCAAGGTGATGATCAGGGCAGCTATGTGGAAAATGAAGACTTCTGGAGATAGAAAAAACTTTTAGATTAGATAAGTTTAAGAGGGGAAACTGGTCTGGTTACCCATGTACAGTGACAAATAACACACAAGGCAGAACACAGCAGAGAACATAATGAAAGACTTAGTGCCACAACAACAGTACCACTAATACACAAACTAACACATATTACAGCGGCATTAACACATGTGAAATAAGACCTTACAAATGATGTTAAAAACACAACTCATATCTCAGGCACAAGAACATTCAGCATCATCGTGTAACTTTTGTTTTCATTTTATTCAGCGGATCAGCATCGGCAGGCTTCCGCAGAGGGCCTCTTGCACACTGTAGTGCTGAGACTGGGAGCCTTACTGGTGCTCATGCTGACGGTGGGCGAGTGGTCGGATGTCCTCCACGTCCTCATCACTTTCCTGGGAGAAGCGGCCTGTCTGCTGCCCTCTCAGGACCTTCTGCAAGCTGTGTTAAAGGTCTGTATGAAGAAGCTGTTCCACTCAAAAACGATATACAGTATTTTATGTTTCCCTCTTTTGCATCTAAGCTGTCATCTCTAACAACATGATTTTGTTGGTAGTAATGTTGCCCAATGTGAAAATGACAGATTGCATTTAATCGTCATGCTTCGTTTTTAGGAAGAAGAAGAAGAAGAAACAAGTCTGACCAAATATAAACAGAGCTCCGGTCACAAAACAAGGGAATGCACAAGGAGAACATCATCAGACAGAAGTTGATGGTGTAACTGAAGTCTACCTCAAATATCAATGACTACCTCAAATGTTAAGACACTAATATTCAATATTACCATTGATAATAAAAGGATTATTGTGGCCTCACTCACTGACTCTTACTGAATTTTGCAGCTGTTTTAAACAGAGGGGAAAAGACTTGGGAGTTTGTAACTTTGCACCACATCACAGCTGCTGTTTTGTTTCTTGTATTGACAAGAAGATCCAACCCACACTGAGCTCGGAGGATTTCCAACAAATGTGAATTATGAAAGATTTTACTTTACTATGATGTGGCAGATATGCTACTATACTCCATGCAATGGGAGACAAAGGCATGACAGAGCAGTGATAAACAGAACAAAATGTTATTCATATAGGATGTTGTTCTGTTATGACACAGCAGAGTTATACAAAGCTGGAGTCGTTTTAAAAAGCCAGTACAGTGGAACACAGATCAGCAGAAAGCTGATGAGAGGAACACAGTGTAAAAAGATAAGGACTGCACCAGATGTAGAACAGTACTTTATTCATTTATGAGTCTCCAGTATGGTCCAGGGTAAAAAAAGTAACAACTTCAAATTACTCATTGCTGGAACTGAGAAGCCTTTTGATTTATTTCTACATGAAATGCATCATCTTAAATCGATGTTGATCAAATATTCCACACAACAACCTTTGTTTTCTTAGAGAAACGCTTCCTTAATGAATAATACCAGAAAAGCACTGATGACTTTCACAGGGATTGATCATGGCGTCATTCATTTTAAGATGCTTCTCATCGAGATGTGAGGCGACACTGGCCCATTGATGGTGTCCGTGTGTCACTAATTAAAGGGGCCCTCATTTACACATGAAGATCAGTTCAGTCACCAGTAGAAGTGCCCAGCCTGTGGAAGTGGTTGTATAACATCCTCTGTGGGGCAGAAAGCCTGCATTACAAGCTGGATGTGTGGGGTTTTAAAGAAGTTGTGATGTAGGTGGCAGGGGGGTCTAATGAAAGACACTATCCAGTTGCATCATGGGAAATGTAGGATCCATGTTGTTGTTTTTTTAGCTTTACCGTTACTCAGGACTAAAAGACAGATTGTTTCAGCTTCTCTTGCTTCAAGTTTCACCATTTTCTTTTCAATCTGTCTCTCACAACTCCCCCAGCCTTATTCCTGAAGTTCTCCTTTAACTGCTACTCAAAGCTACTTCTGTAGAGTAATTGTCAACAAAAGCATAGTTTTTCAGTATTTCTCTATGTCGAAGTCTTCCCACCCCTGCAGATGTTTACAGTTAGGAAATCAGCATCAGCTGTAATTGTGAACATGCAATTGTCGTTGTTTTCCCTATCTGCTGTGTTTCTTCCTGTTCCTTTCCCTTCATTTCCCTTCATTCATTTCATTCTGTTTTCATTGTTTTCCTGCACATCCACTGAAACTTTTAGGATTAAAGTAAAGCGTGACGTGATGTTGGTGAGAAAATTGAAAAGTCATGCTGCTAGAAGCAGTGAAGAGGTTCAGAAGGTTTAATGGGGATTTTAGCTGCTGAGAGTGGGGGGTGGAGGGGCGGAGCATGGAGGTCTGGGGATTGTGTCATCAGTAGGCATGCTCCCTCCTGCAGCCGTAACATCACTGCAGCATTCCTTTCCACAGAGCTGGAACAACAGAGACCCTCATCACTCTCCTCATCTGCTTGTCCTGTTAACCCTCTCTCACACATTCCTGCCTCGCTCTTCCTCCACGTCGATCAGGAAAGTTTTACTCAACATCAAGTCCCTCACTCCATCCTCCTCTTTGACTCTCAGGGAAGGGAGTAGACCTCACAAAGTTTTGGCTTCAGAAACTAACCACAATATTTGCTGTTCAGCAGACCTGATATTGCTTTGACTCATTCTGGTGGAGAGCAAACACAACAAAGCAGCTTTTTCATAGCTCTCACAGACATCACTCACTGCCCCCCCCCCCCCCCCCCCCCCCCCCCCCCCCTCCTAATATACCAACATCTCCTCTTGCACAATGCCCTGATTCATTGCACTGTAATGCTGCTGCTCCTTGTGCAGCTGAACACAAAAGCTTCAGCAGGAGAGTCTGTTGAGGTCCACCACATATTATCAGACTGTGTGTTCTGCTCCGGACAGTCGGTGAGGCACAAATGGAAGCAATGCCATGAGACGCTGATAGTGAGTCAAGGCTAAAGTGATATAATGTAGTGGGGGAAGGGAAGAAGGAAAGAGGGAGAAGAAAAAAGGAGGCAGACTCAATGAGGGAGGTAGGGAAAATAAAGCTGACAGAACAATAAGGCAGAGCTGCACAGGAGAGAGAGAGAGAGAGAGAGAGAGAGAGAGAGAGAGAGAGAGAGAGAGAGGGCAGTTTGAGATAGAGAGGAGTTAGAAAAGGCAGGTACAGTCACATCCTGCTGGCATGCAGAAAGATAAAGAAGAGGGTGGTGGCGGTGTGTCTACGCTTATGAGAAACTTTATGACATGACATTGCATTTGTTGAAACACAACTGTTGCATAACTTAATGTGAGTATGTGTCTACGTGCATACATGCCAGTGAGTGTGTGTGTGTGTGTGTGTGTCTGTGTGTGTGTGTGTCTGTGAGTGTGCGTGTGTGCATGCCAAGTTTTCATAGTGGATGAATGTGTCATGTTTTTTACAGAACTTTGCCCGAGATTAACTGTTCACCTTTTACGGTTGGGAGGGAGGTGGTATTGTCATTCAGCCAGAGAAGGAGGAGGAGGGGTCGACGGACGGGAGAGTTGGGGAGGGAGGTACAGAAGGAAAAGGAGTGGCCTTCTGCAGATAGTTGCCCTCTCTGCCGGAGTAAAGTCTTCTCACTGTGGCAGCTTGTAGGAGGGAAAACAAACCAGAAGTTTTGAGATACAGAACAAGGAAGGAGAAAGAAGAAAAGAGAGAGCCGTCTTCAAACCACATTTTCTCGCAGGTATGTAATGGCAGCTCGCAGCCAGTGTGAGTGCGTTTAAAGGAAGCAGATGATACAGATTTGTGCTTTCTGCTTCTAAAACCATTCATTATAGGTAGAGAGAGCTGTGAGTGTGTGAATCTACCTCTCTGAAGTGAGAGATAGAGCTCCCACAGGGTTGACTGAGAGGGTGTGTACACTTAAATAAATACTGTTAAGCTGATAGAGATAAAATGTTTGCTATTCATATGTTTTATTCTTATTCTTATTCTTATGATGTGCTTCTATGTTTCTGTTTTATGATTGTCCTTTTAAACAGGTCATAAAACAATATGATAATCATGATAACCATTGTCCTGTCCTCCTGTTAGGCTGTATGTAGGTTATATACAGTCATGGCATCAGCAGCTTCACCAAAAAGGATGGTGTCCTCTGTCTTTATCACTCTGGCATCTCCTTACCGAGCCACTGTGACACAGCAGCAGCCCGCCCTCCAAGCTCACAGTGCCCCTGCTAGAGACAAGCAGCACACTGCTGTGCGAGTCAGCCCAGGTGACAGCATCCCCGCCCTCAGACATAGGAAAGAGGACCATTCACCATCCGACTCTCACAGCAGCATGGACAGCAAAGACCGGACTCGCGCAGGGGCTTCAGCCCGAGCTTCAGGCCAACAGAGTCCCAAACCCGCCCAACCTGGACCCAGCAGAGGAAAGTTGCAAGAAGTCGACAGAGGTGCTGCAGGTATTCATGACAAATTCTTTTTTTTTTAAAATCTTGGATTCAATACAAAATAGTGCACTGGACAAAACGTAGACTACCTTACATGTAAGTGATGCCATCAGGCCCCAGCTGAACTATGATTTTATGCATCAAAACCTGTTTCTTGGTGTTGGAGAATACTACTGCCCCTGCATATGTGAAAAGGTTTAACTGTAAAGCCTTTTGTGGCTCCAGAGGGAATCTCTCGGTTGAGGCTGAAGACTACAAGTTTGAAAATAAAAAATCTGGGGGTGTGGGGTTAGAAAGATGTGAGCTTACCAGATTTCTGTAGCCTGCTCATCATCTCTGCTTGAGGCTAGTGGCTCCAGGCTACAGTAGTTGCATTGTGGGTTATGTAGGTGCCAGGTTTTGACAAGGCAGAAGAATAAGTGAGAAAAAAAAGACATCTCTGGTTCTGCTGCATTAATTTTGATCCTTTTTTTGTTCATCGTGGATTCCACAATGTTGGGAGTGTAAAGCTAAATTGGTGTCGTACTTTTTCTTTTCCAGTACTTTAAACTGGAAAAATTCTTAACCCCCTTCTCACACTTGCTGGGTTCAAGAAGTATTTATGTTATCAGGTCTGAAATGATAAAGTATCATCTGCGAAGAACAGTTGCTAAATCTGATCACAGCTGGCTTCCTGTTTTAGGAACACGCAGAAAAGTTGTTATTTTAGAGACACATGTTTAGAAGACACCCCTAAGCTTCAGTTTCTCCCCTTATTTTATTTGATTATTGTTTCTCTCTTTCTTGTTTTTCTCATTTTTAGGGGTGGAAATATCTTACAATATGCATGCTCATGTATGCATATATATGTGTATATGCAGTATATTTGTATATATTTTGTTGGGTTTAACGTTAATCTTCTCCTGAATTTCAGGAAATGTCATTGCTTACTGGAAACTATTTCGACTATTTTTCTGAAATAAGTCTTTTTCTTGCCAAACAGAGCTCTTCCCTCCTCGTCCTCCTCCTACCCCTCCTGCTGCTGCTGCACTGCCTTCATCTCTGGGAGCAGCGATCCCTGAAGAATCGGCACTTCCACCACCTCCTCCTGTCCAGACACCTCTCTCACACCCTCTGACCCCAGGCCAGCAGCCAGTTTACAACAGAGAGGTATGCGACTTCCCTCACAATGTTGCTACAAATCACATTTTCACCCGCCCTATCTTCATGTTTACCATTGATGTCACTGTTTTAAACACTTGAACCCAATTTCCCTCAATAAATTTCTCCTGAAGTAGACAAGTCACTTTTTCCCACAGTGAAGGATTATAACTTTCCACAACTTTTACAGATACTGTATTATGTTCTGCAGTGGTTGTAAAGAGTCATCTGCAAAACACATTATGAAGGAAAAAAAACAGCTGTCTTTTATGGATAATGATCAGAAGGACTTTATGAACTGTACAAATTTTTCCTTCACAAACAGAGCTCTTTCCAAACTGTTGATATCTTTATAAGAAACTTTTTGTTCCCATAATTTCAGCCCAGTATCTGTGTACAAACACTAAAGCACTGACCAGGAAACAGGCTGAGTATGACTTTTTCCCATCGTCATCTGTGTAATGCTTTATAGATGATAGGATTTCTTGTATACCCCCAAACTTTAAAGTTAGATTTAAATAAAACTATTCCTTTCAACTACTTTTCAGTTTGGGAAAATGTACAGCTTTGAGACTTTAATAGGTGCAGTTTTCCTATATTTGTAATTCTAATGTTAAACACAGAGAACGTAAAGATTGATACGACACTGTGTTTCAACCTTGGGAAAGTCTTAAGGTTAGCAGAGCTTTAAATAACAAGTGACTCAACTATGATTCGTACATCAAAAGAAATGTGACTCAATTTTTTATATCGGAGTCTGTATTTGTATTAAACGTCTCTTGATTAAAAGCATTGAAATGAAAAGTGTATATATGTATACTCTTAAATCGATACTCCGCAGCCTTGATTGTCTTGGATGACTTTTATGTTTCAACCTGTAACCTCCACAGCTATTCTTAACCCCCTCTCTTTCCAGCATCAGACACAACCCCTGCACACTCAAAACCAAGCGTTGTTACATCGTGTGGTTCATCTTATGAGGCCAAACTCAAATGTGAACTTGTCAGTCGTCTCAGTTTAAAGTTTAGTTTTACATTGACAAAGTGCTTTACATTCAAGGTGGAAACAAGCACACCATCTAGTGGGTTAAACCAAGACGAACAGTCCCATGGGATCCATAAAAACGGCCAAGACACAGGCAGTAAAGGTAACATGATCTCTATTTACACATTTACCACTCAGGCTTTAAACTCTTCTGTTTTGACAACACGCATATTATTATAAACCTCTCTGATGTTTGATGTTTGTGTGCAATGCAGAGGTGTGTGGCTTCTGCCGGAAGCCTGTGGCTCTTTCTGAACCCGCGATAGAGGCCTTAAACAGGACCTACCATGATGGTTGCTTCCAGTGTAGATCTTGTCACATTCCCCTGGCTGGTAAACACTACTACAACAAGGCAGGAATTCCACTCTGTGAAGCCTGCTACCAGGTAGGTCCAAGTCAATACATCTTCCACTACAGGATGTTCACATGCAAATCTTTGTAAAGGACAATGTTTTTGCATGCTCATTTTCTTCAAACTATGTATGTTTTACATCAGTCAATGTATTCTATTAACTATTCAATTCTGTCTCTTAGACCAGTCTGGAACTTTGTTGGGCATGTGGGGAAGTCATCACGGACCATGTGATCCGTGCATTGGAGCGAGCATACCACCCTTCTTGCTTCACCTGTACAACATGTAAACAGCAAATTGGAGAGCAAGCTTTTGCTCAGGGAGAAGTTGGAGAGGTGTATTGCCTCCAGGACTACTACAGGTATGAGAGTTAAATATGATTGCAAGCATTACAGGACAACTTTACACAACCTAAGAGATTTTAAACCTCATTTTATTCCATTTTATTTTCCCTCTTATAGTGCTTTTAAATGTAATCTTCATCTTGGGTAAAGCGGCATCTGTAGTAAAAGGTGCTGTACAAATAAAGTTGCCTTGCATTACAGTTTCTTTCTTTCAAACTTTTGTCCATGAAGGAAGTATGCTCCAAAGTGTAATGCCTGTAAGCAGCTAATTATTCCAAAAGAGGATGGTACTGACAGCTACACTGTTGAATGTCTTGGGCGCTCCTACCATGAGAACTGCTACAGATGTGAGGTGGGTGTTCTGAGTGCAAACATTTTACTGGACACACTGACAAGTATGCAAACACACGGATACACACTTATCACTACCAGTTAATCAGTCTTTCATACTGTCTGCAGGTCTGTGTCATCCAGCTTTCTCCTGAACCAAATGAGCACGGCTGCTATCCTTTGGATGGGAAGATGCTTTGCAAATCTTGCCATCTGAACCTGGTTTCTGGCCAGCACTAACGCAGGCCTTGTTGCCCATGATAAACTGCAACCAACGGAAAAGCCGCATGTCCAGGTTTAAAGAGATGGGAGACTGTGCATGTGCGATTAAGATTCTAGCATACGAATGTCACACATCTTTTTTCCAATAGAACATTAGTGAAATATGGTTATTTTTTATAATATATCATGCTTTCTGAAGATCCTCCTATTCCTCTTTTATACTTGATAATTTTGCACTCAATAAACTCTTCAAAATGCACCAAATATATTTATGCAACAGACTTACCACAGAAATTATTAGAAATTTTTGTAAGTCTTAATCAGTATACTGTTTCTCAATCATGTTAACCCTTTATATAAAAAAAAAACTTTATATAAAAAACACAAAAACTTTTATATAAAAATAAACTAATATATTTTATCTCGAGGCAGGCTTCAACATACATAACATTTGTTATATTACACATACAATATCAATAAGTATTAAGATGTGAAAAAACTTTACAATTCAATTCATGATTGTGTAAGTGAGATGATAAACTGCAATCAAACTCATGCAAAACCTTTTTCCTGAATATAGAAGGTGAATTGAAACACATTTAAATATGTTTTTTGTCATCCTAGCAGCCAAGACCTCTGCATTTAAAGCTGCAACAACTTTAGGCAGTGTCCTGAATTCACACTATGCTGGGTTTAACCTTAACAATCAGGTTAAGTAGTTAAAAAAAAAAAAAACCTTCAGGCAACCAATTCAACTCATCTAAACTGCATGAGACATGTTTACAAAACTAAAAATAGGCATTAGAGCTTTTGTACAATAATGTGTGACAATACAACAACTGATTCTAAAGTCTTCATTATAGACCAAAACTTGAAGGTGACTTTGATTTGAATGTCATTACATCAACATTTTTAACACCTGAAGATCTTCACTAGTCACACAAAGTCTCATTCATATCCCAGCTGAATTACTTGGTTATTTATGTTCTGTATCTCAAAATGACCTGTTTGTGGAATTATATTTTTGTGTATCATAAACATTTATTAAAACATTTTTTCTGGAAAAAGTACATTTGCCATTTATGTTTCTGTTCACCACACTTCAGTTTTTACGTTCTTTTATTTGTCTAGGTAGGCCTAAATTTTGTAACCATGGTTTGATCTTTTCTGGCTGGTCTTTAAAGTGAGACAAGTTAACTTTTGAAACGACTAACAGTACAGTACAAACTGGGGCTAGTTGCAGCTCTAGTTTCATTAGTATGCACAATACTTTAACAGACAAACCTCAGCCTGTGGCCAAAAAACCTGACTGGTGGCCCTGGGGCTAGAATTTGCTGTTGTGTCCCTTTTGCCTCTATGTCCCCATCATGTACAGTGCATAGCACAATATTGATGGCAGTTTCTTTTTACATTCTGCACACAGACCCAAAAACCAACCAATACTTCCTATACTGGAATACTAACTTTACACAGGTTTTTCTGTGATTTAATGAAACACAACACAGTTTAGAAAGGCAGGGTTAGGTAGACATTCAAAGTGCTTAACAGAAATAAAAGAAGCATAAAAAAATAGTAGTTCAATGTGCTTAACAAGGAGCATAAAAATATAAATAAAAAGCATAAGAGAAAAGGATAAAAACAGCATAAAATACGGATTAGAAAACAGATAATATCTAATGAAGTAGGAAAATGCACCATATTAGCACAAGTAAGTAGCCTACAGAAAAAGTAACTGATCCTGATCCAGCCTCATGTTTTAAACTAGTTGTCATTTTATAGGCTATACTCATTTTTATGAAATAATTCAACAACGGTTCAATGTGTATCCACTGACTGGATCTCCTTTAAGTCTAATGGGATTTACTCTAATCTATAATCTTGATCACCGCAGTGACGTTGCAGACAAATCTACTTCACGGGCTGCAGTTTGATCCTCGACGAGAAATCGCGTGCTCAGTGTCGGCAACGCGCAGAACACCGGCGCCGCGCAGCTCGCACCCAGAACCGACAGGAGCGAGGCTTGCGCGCGTTCCCGTGGACGACTCGGGGACACAGCAGCTAAAGCTACACGGGCAGCGGCCACCGGGCCTAGATCATTCACGGAATCCACCGTCGTTCATTTTGTTTGGGCGCACCTCCGACCGGCAGGGATTAGAAACGTGCCAGATCATATGTGTGTGAAGGGGGAAAGAATAGCGCACGATGGTTCGGGAAACCAGACACCTTTGGGTGGGAAATTTACCCGAACATGTCCGAGAGGAGAAAATTGTGGAGCATTTCAAACGGTAGGTTACGCAAGAGGGATCCCCTGTCGGAGGAGCAGCGCGGGCTAGCTGCAGCTCTATCGTTAGCTATGTAGCTTGCCACCAATGCTAATACAGCTAACGTTAGCATTTTTAAGTTTTATAAGTCAGCGGATTTCTTGTGTGCTGCATATGGTACATTGCAGCACAGGGGTATTCGTTGAAGCAAAATACCGGGAATAGAAGTACTCTAGTGCAAATGTTTACGATTAATACTGTTTAGCTAACTTTTGCTAACGCCAAGAGGCAAGTTGCTAGGTGTGCTAGCAACCGAGCTACCACCCAAGCAACCATCCGACCATTTTGTGGGAAGTGGAGACGTTTTCATGATCAGTACAAGCCAAAAGGCAGCTAACATTAGCTACACAGCGGGGCAAATAACAACAGATGACGTGTGTTATTTTATCTATTATTTAAGCCACAACGTTATTTCTCTGATCAACAGTGGTGTTAAGAGAAAAACTGAAATGAGAAGCTAAAAATCTGAGACCGATCAGCGAGCTCACTGTGCTGATAATCAAATGTTAGCAAGTAGTTGAGCCGCTTGACCAAGGAAGACATCACTGTACTTAAACTCGGCTAAGATACTCGTTGTTGTCTTGCAAGTTACAAGTAAACTGCGGGTTATGCCCCCACTAGTCAACAACTACTTGGATTTGAAAGAGTGCTAAAAGTCTTAACTTTTGTGCTTTTCCTCGTTCACAGAAGGCTATGTTAGGTTTCATGTCATTATCATTTGCTACGTAATGTAAAGCCCACGCCTGTAACTGATAAACAGATCTTTAACACAACAAACTTAACATCCAGTCACAGTTAATGGGAGATGTTGCTATATCACTTTAATACTGGTCTGGTGACAACTGTGTGTTTACAGATGATGCTTTTTGTACTTGTTTAACACTGACAATTCACATGTGTGAGGTCCCAAAGGGATCTTTTGAATAAAACTATTACTTTTCAGGTGTTGTTCAGAAACTTCAACTGTCCAAACAATACATATGACTCCCAAGTGTAGTCCTCCATCACAATAACTGCAAACATGTTCTAGACGTTCATTCCTGTGTTTCTAAAAGGAAACACTAGTGGAAACTTGTCTTGGCTCATAATTGTAGTTGAATCATTAGTTTGCTTGTCATATCAGTGTCTCTTCTGCTCTTTATTTACCAGACTCTGGCACACATGGAAACAGCTATATTTAACCTATTCTTAGCGGGTGTATATGTAATTGCCTCTTTGTTTTCATTGTAATTTCCTCTCAGGTATGGGCGTGTGGAGAGTGTTAAAGTTCTGCGGAAGCGAGGGTCAGAGGGTGGTGTTGCAGCTTTTGTGGATTTTGTGGATATCAAAAGTGCACAGAAGGCTCACAATGCTGTCAACAAGATGGGAGACAGGGACCTGCGGACTGACTACAATGAACCTGGATCAGTTCCTAGTGCTGTTCGGGGCCTTGAAGACAGCTCCCCCTCGAGCAGTCGAGACGTTACAGGATTCTCTAGGGGAACAGTTGGTCCAGTGTTTGGCCCACCTGTTTCCCTTCACACCAGAGAGGGACGTTATGAACGGAGAATAGATGGGTAAGTGGACACGGCCTCCCCTTAAAATCCAGGGGATTCTAGGTATTGGATAGGTGTAAGACCTAGACAAATAGTGGGGTTATTCGTGAGAGATAGATGCCTCAAGGGGTTACACAAAGGTAATCTAGGGATTGTTCCACTTTTCATCATAATTGACTCGCCATTCCCACGGGATCTAAATAAATTAACTACACATTATCATTTGGTAAGGTAACTATGATTCAAGGTTTGACATCTGGTTTGGATATTACATCTGTGAGGAATATCCTAGTGAGTTTTGGATTTATTACATTTTGTGGGAAACTACCTCGGGAACATTTGGATATTTTTAACATTTTTCTCCTAAAAATGGGATCTAACCTTAATTTTTACTTGGAGTCGCTTGAAACTGGAAGTAAATCCCTACTACTAAGGATGCACTTTTCTCTGAAGAATCTATATAGGTAATATATAATTACTTAAAGGACCTTCCATCTTGGGTTGTCAGTTTTTTTTCCCTTTTGGCAACAACTGATGGTTGGAGTACTTTAACCATTTTTGCCTCTGTGGATACGACTTTATCTGGATTTACGTTTTGAACAAGTGGATGGAAGAACTTTATATTCATTACACATCTAAAGAAAGACAGATTAGCGTATATATCCATGGCTATGTCAGTAATTTTAGGATGAGATTAACTATATATCACAAACACCTTTTGTCCCAAATATGGAAGTTATACCAAGAAGACTTTGCAAGAACACTGAGGATCCACACCACCAGCCATCGAAAGTTTGTGGAGCTAATCTTGTTTTGGATTGATGGCCATGAAGACACACGAAGGCTGCATAGTTGGAATGTAACCTGCTGGATGTACGCAATACAAACGTGATGTTGGATCTACTGATGTGAACCTTAGTATGGATAGGTATAGCTGCCAATCATTTGGATTACTCAAGTGTGGATTTAGCTGTGTAAGGCCTCAGTCAGGAGAAGAGCACTACCAAGTATGATACAGAGAGCTTAAGACAACTTTTTCAAACTAACTTGAAACTTTACTACAAAAAGATGAAGCCTGCCAGTGAGTACGCAAACCTGATGGGATCCATGGATTGTGGAATTATGTCATCCAATGAGCCCATGAGGATTTTATGTGTTGTTATCGTAGTGTCCGCAAGTCTACAAGCTTGTGTGCTGTTTAACTACTTGACATTAACCAGTGGAATACATTTTTGACATTTTTTCGATGTAAAGGTTAATTTTTTGGACATACTACCTCCTCATACAACAAGACAAGACTGATCCAGTTGGATGTATTTTCCATTTGGGCACCATCTTGCTGTGTAGTCAACCTGGAGTCTGCTGAATTACCCTGAAGTTCATCATCCTATTTTTTAAATTCATATTTATTTATTGAGGTTGTATGTTCCTATGTTTTTTCACATGTCCTGAAATCCATAAAGAGGTCCATTTCTGTGGTTGTTTTTGTTTTTCCCTTTTTCCATCCAGTGAAGAGAATTAAGTAGCCTACTGTGGATTATACATCAACAATCTACTGGCCTGGTGCTCCACAGTATTTGAAGATAACGTGCAGTGCGATTCAAGAGAACCGTTTTTGCCTAATTAGATCAGTTGATTTTTCTCCTTGGTTTTTCATTCGGGCTCTCACATTCTGACCACCTAGATTTTATTTGGATTAGTTTCGGTAACTTCTTTTCCAAAAGGTTGGTATTGCTCTGCCCTCTGCATATTTTCTTTCTCTAACATTCCTTAGTGCTTTGTCTAATATTAGGTTTTGCACTGCTTTTAGGGAAAGATTAATTTGATGCAAGACAGAAAAAAAAATATATATAGAATGCATATATAAAATATATACACATTAT